CCTGGAAAATTTAAGGAGTTATTATTATGTACGTTTAGGTAATACAACCGTTCGGATACTTATGTCCGCTTGTGTAAATATCATTCAATACTATATTTTGTAGTTCCCATAAATCCAAATAAAACCCATTAACTGCCCTAGCAGTGACGCCTCCAAAGGCACCATTAAAAAGTTCAATGGCAGGAATACGCAATTGATAAATGGAATACCAGAGGCATTGCATGCAGTTGCTGAAAACCCGACGCCAACGATGTTAACAAGTGGAACACCAATATTTGTAAGAAATCCTATCGTATTAGGATAGAGAGGCGCTGTACCAAAAGATATGATGATGTCCGGCACCGTATTAATTTGATTTGTACGTAGGTAGCCAGTGCAAGCATTGCCCTTGTACCATCTTGACGAATGGGAAACATTTTGATCGCAAGATAAATTTGAATGGTCGTTCGTGGAGAAAAGTAACCTGTCGAGAGATCATGTAAGCTAGGAACAGACTCGCTGTTGCCAACTTCAACAACCAGTGTTGGATATGGTCTCCCCTCTGAGTTAGATCCCTGGCCAGGTGGAGGTCTAGGAAGTCCTCGTGGTCGGATAGTAAGATCAGCAGTATAGTAACTATTCGGTCCCACAATAAGATCCTCCTCTTGTGCATTACATAGTTGATTATTCCAGGAACGTATCAAAAATGCAATTTCACCTGCTCCAATGCATGAGGTACTTCGTGAGCTATAATTTTTCCTTCAACCAAACGAATTCTAACAGGAGCTTTCGCTCAATTTCACAATATTTGATGTAGGCTTCGAGTGACACATTTTCCCTGATAATGATTGGCTTCATATCCTCGTTCGCTTCCATTTTTTCTTCTTGGAATGCAAGTAAGCGGTCCCTGGCTTGATTAAGGAACTCTTTGCTCAACCGAAGTGAAGTCGACTGCATGGGAAGTAGTTGTGGCAGTTGAAACAGTAGAACTAAAGCAAGATATTTTAGAGGTGATTTTTAGTATTGTATGTTAATAATATTTAGTGGGTTTAGGATTAAAGAAAAGGATAGGAACACAGTTGCATATAATTACTCACCTCTGGGTTGCAGTAGTAAGGTAAACTTGTCATCTTCGTTCTGATACGTAATGTATGATTTATCGGTTATCTCATATAAAATTTTTTTCCGCTGTCAATCGAGAAACTTTATATTTAGAATTTGTAGATGGGCCAATCAGAATTTATTTTTTGTAAATTCAGACGTGACATCGATGTCACTGGCACAGTAATGTGGCGCAGTAACGATCATATTCTATTTTCCTTTTTTAAAACTTCGACTATTAACATAATCAATATTTTCTTGACTTAAGTTTGAAATGCTTGACGCCGAAAATGATCTAATGCCTCTTATTTTCTCTTCACCAATACTAACAAATAAATCATATATTTTTCCTGCTCTCTCCTTTCTTTTTTTCAATGCATTATTGGTGATATTATCGGGGAGTTGTTTCCGGATTTCGTCATTAACAAGAGCCAAGCAAGCTCATCCCCCATGTTTCAGATTTTTATAATGATCGAAACGTTTTTTCATAGCTTTACCAAAGTTGAAATAACTTTCAATGACTTCCCTACTTGTTATATCACTTTTAGATTTAGTCTGCGTAATTTTGCTATAATAATACAAAAACTTATTGGTGTTTTCATTGACTTCTATTACTTTTTCAGAATTTTCAGGTATTGTTGATGTCAATTCCTCAATAAGTTTTTTAATATAGGAGAATCTTCCTTTGATACTTGTTTCTTTGCTTTCTTACTGGATGTTTTATTGGTAGATTCACTGACACATTTTTTCTGGGAGGTATCTTTAAATATTGGAAAATCATTAAATAACGATGGGGACATATCCATCAAATCGTTGGTATATAGACTTCCAGGCGTAGCATCAACCGTAGATTCTACTCTTTTTTGCAATCAGGTCTTGGACATATTGAACGTTTTTTGATAGATTTTTCGATGCAATCGCGATGATATATATGTCCATAGATAAGTATGGTAATCGGGGGTTTTATTTCATACAAAAGTTCTCGGTTGCATAACGAGCATGGGTCTAGTTCCGAAACATTAACGCCTTTTGCAATTTTTTCTAAGGATGAATTTTTTAGAATATTAATGCAAGGGATTCGAGAGATAAGATATTAGCAGACATAGCGAGGTGTATAACCGGATAAGTTTTCCATATACTTAACTCGGCTTTCAGTTATGTACCTTTTTCAACCCACATTTTTCACTGGTTTTAATAGGTACAAAATTAGCAACGCGAATAAATGAACGTATAAAAAAACCAATGAGAAGATTAAAGATAATGTGCGAAAATTCAATAATCTTGTGAAGGCTGTCCCCAGAACAAGATATAAAGAAATTCAGAATTGGAAGAGCATTTGTCAGATAGATGACGAGTATTGGATCATTTATCTCGATAGTATTGCGTTTCCAGCAATGGATGCTGATATACGAAAAGCATTATGTAACCTAAACTCGTTGGACCGTGCGTTTGAAGAAATTGAAAGAGCCAAAATCGAAATGACAAGAATGAAAGAATATTCATCTCAGAGGTTAGACGCGCCATTAATAGTGCCATGGAGAATTTGAACGATGCAGATGGTGAAGATAAAGCATTTGATGAATGGTTGCCTAGTGTGGTTACGGAAAGAGAAGGATGTAGTTTTGGAGATGACTGGAGAAGTAAACAAGGTATTTGGTGAGTCAAACGCGGATAATGTGGCAAGGGAAGACGAAATAGAAAACTATTTGTATAAAGGAGAGGTTAGTATAGACTTTAATGACGTAGATGAGACTATGTACGAATAAGGTGAAAATGATAATATTGATATGGAAATTATAACATAAACATAAATAAAGCTTCCTTAATAAGGAATATGAAATTAAAACAAGCAAGACGAATTATGTCTTGTCAGTTTTTATGCTTTTGACTTTTGACCAATGCGAAGAATGACATTGTGCCACCTGTCTACCTATTATACCAATACTTTGTGGTGCATTCAATATGATCGATTTGCGGGGGGTAGTTTGATTTTTATAAGTCGACTGTATTGGTTGAAACAGGTGGCTCTAGGGGAAGTTGTTAAACGCCAAACCAAATCCGAAATAACACTATAACGTGGTTCCAAACAAGACTAAATATAAATACCCACACATAAACAAACAAATGATCGTATTATTCTATTTCTAGAACACTACTGTTTAAGGCTTTGCACATTCTTCATCGAAAATCGTTCTAATTGTACTCTTTCCTATGATCAAGAACATAATTAACTTGGTCGCATACTTCTTCCAAATAAATGCGCTTTACACGACTAATATAATACGAGGGGGCAAAAGTATTGCTAAAACTTTGGGACTAGTGAGACGAATACGCTGGACTAGTGAGACGAATACGCTGGGACCAATCTGATCTTGTGATACATTCTCTTTATTATGCATCAGAGAATAATTCATGCGTTCAGCTAAACTCTTGACAATGCTCAACAACGGACATAAAGATTGGCTAGATAGAAGCATTCGGGAAGGAAATGTCACATGCTTTTCAGAGGATGACGTCCTGGATCGTACTTTCGTTGGCTATAGTGGATATGGGGTGGTATTCAAAGCAAGATTAAAAGACTCTGGACTAAATGTTGCATTGAAAACATTAATTCCAAGCTCATTCAACTTTGAAGAGAAATTATACAAAAGATTCGTTGAAGAGGTCATTAATCTATTTCATCTGTATTACCATCTATCACATGCCCATATAAGCTAATCTTTGTGATGTAATTTATCAAAATCTATTACAGTTGAAGAATCACAAGGATGCAAACGTTTATCCTAATATCATTAAATTTTTGGGTGTATGCAGAGGTATACTAATGCTTGAAGCAATGTTTCTGTTTGCTTGCAAAGAATTATTGCTTATTTTCTCTTATAATATAAACAGATAATCTTACTGATTGTATTGTCTATGAGTATGCTGATGGTGGAACTCTGCGTCAACACTTGAATGAACAATTTGGTAGTTTAACTTGGAGAGATAAATACAAGTTAGGCGTGGAAATTGCCAATGGGTTAAGATGTTTACATAATCTTAATATCTTCAACATAAACATGGTGGGTCATTGTATTTACATTGTGTTGCCAGTGTTTGTTATATACTAATTTCATTCGCATTCCCCAGTCATCGAATACTATTCTCATTCAATTAGGCATTGCAAAAATATCCGATTTGGGGTTGACCAGTGTAATAAAAGAGATGATGTCTATAACTCAAAGTGGAATTACTGCAGCATACAGAGATCCATGGTACTTTAAAGATTATAACTATGACGGTGGAATGGAGTCGGACATTTTCAGTCTTGGAGTAATACTCTGGGAAATATCGAGTGGAATGTATCCTTGCGAAGGACGTACGAAAATCGAGGAAATCATGTCATATCGACAGAAAGGCCATCGTGATCCTTCTTTCCCGGAAACACCCAACGAATATATCAATCTGTATTCGAAATGTTGGAGCGAAGACCCTGGCAAACGACCGTTAAGTGAAGAGGTATACGAACAATTGAAGAAGTGCGTTCTTGAAGAAGTACATGTTGATAACCAGACGGAGAAGGGAATTCTCGGAGCAACGATTGAATTGATGTGTACTGTTGCTATAACGGTGGATGTTCCAAAAGCTGAACTGGTTTCTATGATTGACCGCATCATCAAGCTCATGGACACTGTAAGATATAATATTGAAGCGCTGCCTATTATGAAGTTGTATATGTTGGAAATAAAGCAGGCTATCAATTATAATGACGATGTTATTGATACCGCCTGTTTGATGAGGGCGTTAAACGATTTGGAAAAGTTTCTAGTACAATATACAAAGCCGAAAATGAAAACGCTTTTAAGATTTTTCAATATGGATCAAGTAAGCGATTGTATTTTAGCTTTTTATCGTTATAAGCAGAACTCTAACACTGGATCTCTTCTCTTTTCGTTTTACTTATCAGATAGACAAAAAGATACAGACACTATTCAACAATCTAGACAGTTCTCTCAATACTGCTAATGTAAGATTAAATTTTGAAAATATTCGCAGATTGAGGCAGCAAACGGGATATGCGCAAGACTCGCTAGAAGACGCAGAAGATATGGATAGCGATCTCAGTTCTATCAAATACGCTATTACAAAGAAAATTCAAAACTCGTTTATTACGACAGCATGTTTTCATGGTGTTCCGATGGTAAAAGAAAAAATAGAACGCCTAAAGGTTCGACCTGAATGGATCAGCCGGGCTCCTGATGCTCCAGATGATACTACTGGCAATTCTACGAAAGTTATGTTTCGTGGCAGCGTTCCTGCGGCAAAGGTCAAAATTGCGAACGATCACGAAGACATCGATATGCATTGGCGGCAGGCCTACATTAGCTCCAAATTGAAGACTGATTTGTTTATGTCGATGTAGGTGTTTGTATACCTCCTAATAATTTACCGATATCCGTACCAACTAACTAATTTCGTTGTATTTATTATCTATACAATAGATACGGTATTTTACAAGAAGACAAAGCTTATTACATGATCACAGAATGGACAGACAACAGAACACTTGATAAATACCTTGCCGAAAACAAATCCGTCAGCTGGGACCGAAAGATAAAAATGGCAATTCGTTTGGCGAAAGCAGTTTATATGTGCCATAGTAAACTTATTGTGCATCACGACATTCGTAGGCATGGAGCATATGCGATATATTATTCCCATTTCCGTGCGCGGGATGAACTATGTCTTTACTTACTTTTGGTTTTCTTTTAAATTTTATAGTCACAGTGTGATCGTAGATACGTATGGAAATGTAAAGTTGGGAAACTTTTGGCGTTGCAGAGGAATTGACGATGTTACAACTTCTATTTCCGAAGTGTCCGAACGCATCAGATGGTTATGCCCGGAGAAAGTAATCGATGGCAGTCTTCCGTACTCGATGGAAGCCGATGTATATAGGTATGGACCGGTACCAATCGTGCGCGGAAACAGTCACGCATTTCGATTGCTCTTACTGATAGATACTGAAAGAACCTAACTACATGGTTCTATTTCATAGTTTTGGTATGCTCATGTGGGAAATCTCGTCACATCAATTTCCCTTCGCGGACAAAAGCATCGGTAGCGTAATTGATTTACTGCGGAATTCGAAAGGACTCGATAATGACTCTGCTCCGCGGCCGGCACTGGTTCCTGGCGCACCGAAAACATACAATAACATATTGCAGAAATGCTGGAGCCAAGATCCCAGCACTCGTCCGAATATGCACGACGTTGTGAAAGAACTCGAACACCTCTATGAAGATTATATCCGAAACGCTGAAACGTACGAGCCCGCCTCTGACGCTACAGACAGTAAACCCCGTACTCTTAAAATCTCGGATGTCACGATCAGATCGGCCCACAGCCTTCACTCTCAACGACGTTATAAGGAAGCCTTTGAGCAGTTCAAAATACTTGCTGACCGTGACGTGCCCGATGCTGAAGCAAACTTTTATGTTGGCCGATATCTGATCGACAAGAGAATTGTATTTGATCACGACAAAGATCCCAACGTAGGAATAAGCTACCTCGAGGTAGCAATCCAATTAGGATTTTATGACGCCATTCAGTACCTTGCTCAAGAGAAGATGGCTGCGGCTGTGGCACTGCGAAGAAAGTTCCAAGACGCTGGACAAGATGAAGATGCAGATTTAATTCGGCAAAGGATGGGGACAGAATGTTTGCCATTATTTCTAGAAGGTGCGGAGCATGGTAACCTGCGTTGCATGAAAGATCTAGCTGATTATGGAAAGAAGTTGGGAGATGAGCAGAGTTACCATCAAGGTCTTACAATGCTGAAGAGAGTGGTTGAAACGTCAGCAGATCCTGATGATAGGAGTATAGCGAAAGAGTATTTGGAAAAACTGAGAAAAGAGAATTATTCATCATTGAAAAATAGATGACTAGTAATTAATGAATGAAGAAGAATGTTAAGAGGATATAATACTTATTTATTTATTATTATATAGATTTTGAAATAATTTAACACATACCATCTACTGTTGGCAGTTTTATGGTCTAATAAACGATATTTTCAATAACTGCACATTGCGAGCATGGTGGAATGTTGTTTGCATCTTCAGGTAATTAATATTTGCATGGAGAGACGATTTTCTTGTGTGACCTTATACAATACCCATCTCATTTTCATGTTTGATATTCCAAAGTCGTCAAAATGGAAATTTACAATAAACAAATGTGATAGCTTTTTTTAAGCCAATACTTTATTGAAAGATCAATTCAAGTACAAAAGTTACAACAGCAACTGATATTAATGTTTATAAGCTTTATTATCGACACCAGAATAAATTGTCTGAAAAGAATTATATTATCTAGATTGCTGCTACATCAGCCATTTATTGTGCATAGTATACCTCTTTTGAATTATTAGTATTTTTAGTCATTTGGACCCACATCATGCACATCAATCTTTGTAATCTCACGTAAATTGTCAAGAGTCATATTAATTAACCTCTTTGAGTCATTCAATTAACGGATTGTGCTATTTTTGTCGGCAAACCCGAGTTCAAGTTCGTAACAAATAATACTCTTCTAGCTCACTATAACATTCAGCATCGGGGAAAAACATAGCCTCGCTTAATAAGATAACTATTTCCAAATCATGCGTGCCTTTGGTTTGCAAGCTTAAATATCCTTATACACCAACTCATATTGAGTAATTCTTCTTCTATCAATTGGACTTACTACAACCAGTTTCCCTCTCATTGCTCCTTTGTATATAACTTCGATCAAATCAATAAAATCCTGCTTATTCACAAAGGTTCCGATAAACTTTGTATGATCAGGCGTACCATAGTCAACTTTGATATGCTGCGCATTGAAGAAAAAGATTGTGGCTGGAATAAGAGTTATGTCGAAGTAGGAGACATATGCAGGAACATGTGAGATATCAACTGTGTGTATAACTGCCATTCTAGCGAGCTCTGGCGATGCTTTGCTAAGCTTTTTTGATTATAGTAAAAAAGCAAATTGAATGATTGAGCAATCAGTTGAGTTTTTACTACTAGGTTGGTTTCTATATAATAATACTTACAATATAATCTAGCCGCATACACACTGGATCATCTGCTTTACCAAAGCGAAGGGCAACCACGAGATCCTCTGTATTGCGGATAACGGCATCAATCTCTGCTTTCGTCTCTAGAGCAGGAAGAAATGACATATCGATAATTTGCACGCACAATAAAAACCAGTGATGACATAAATAGAAATTTTGTCGGCCTATCAGATGCGGATTGTGTTTGTCAATATAATAAGTTCTAAGACAACTAGATACCATACATAGCAACTTCCAGGTGCACGTTCTGACACCGAAGATACCAATATATGTGGTAATAGTGATGATTAAGAAACCTACCACGCACTTCCACCAAACTGCACAGGGAGGAGGGTGCGCACTCTCACTAGTTTTGCACTTCCTTGCGGATCAACTTGTAAGAAGTTGTTAATTGCAGTTTCCACAACTCTAAAGTTGATCCTGTGTGAGGAAGAAAGACTATACAAATATATGCATCGACAGTATTCTCGGATCGGAGTAAAACTTCAGCGATACACATATAACCCATTCCAAACATTAATACTCCAAATAATATTGTGAGTAGTGATAGGAGATCATTAATGAATATTTCAAATCTCCATTTTCGTAGGTGTATCAGGAAATGGTAATATCAGTATCAGTGACAGTAGTAACATATAACATTGTTGCAATAACACTACCAGTCAACGACGGCAGTGATGGATGTTATGCTTTCACTTTATTCTTAAACATAACGAACAATTATTGTTCCATCGAACTAATATATTCGTTGTTAAGCTTTGTTTCATTATAGCTTTCATTATCGTAGCGGAAGTCTTATTAGTAGAACCAGCTTCCATATCGCTACGTTTATAACATTAACATGATAGTCCCCTCCTTTCATTCGAACAGATCGTTTTCAGTATTGAATCGCTTGCAATATGTACCGTCAATATGCAAGGTCGATCATGTTTATTTTTGTGCCATTCTAATTTTGGTAGCACAAAGTCACATGAATATTTCGCCGTTCACAAACCCTTTAAGAAATTGAATGGCTTGCAAAAATATCAGCATTTTGTATTCGAACAGCCAAACCTGGTGTCGTCAAAGCTCAGCTGGTTGCTAATGGTGCTTTTACTGAATTCAAAAATTTACCAAAGAAATCAAATCCTTTTCCATCTTAGTTCTAATGCCTCCTCCTTTGGATTACAATATACTTACCGGAACATTTGCTTATTTGTTCGAGATGAATTTAAGACCAACCTATATTGGCAACTAATAAAATCTTAGACCAAAATCCTCTCCATTATTTCAACGCTCTTTAATTTCCTTGCTGTCATTAAGTTTTCCGTCTAAATTTTCGACGAATCTTGTTAGCTTTTCCGCTTTTAATTTTCAAAGTTTAAACAAAAAGAAATGCTAAAATAGTTATATACTTAATATACCCTCAAAAAAAGGATACAAGTATATTTAAAAAAATTAAAAAGGAAAAGGAAAAGGCATGGCAAACGTAATAATAATAGAACTCGAAACAAAACAATTAACGATAAAGAAGAAGAGTTTAAACTAAGAATTTGAAATGCAGTTCACAATCCTCTATTTGTTTTCTTTATTAAAAAAATTTTCTTAATACTGTACCAATAATAATAAATGATGTGAAAAATATTAACAACATTTTTTGTATATTCAACTAAGCAATAAAACCAGGTGCTTTTGGCATATGTCGAACTTACTCAAGTTTATAGTGTTGAGAGCTTAATTAATTGTGTGAACAATCTTTGATAAAATAAAATTCCAGTAACCCAACAATACCAACAACAGCAACCAAGACATTTCACATAGATATGTGTCATACGTAATACAGTCTCTCGCAAAAGCATAAATCACATGACATCTGAATTGATCTGATTCTGGCCATTTTTACTCAATTTGTTCATTAAGATAAAAATTTTAATAACTTAGTGGTGCCGAAAATAATCGGCAGACCCGTGATTATGAGCCACACAAGCCATCATATTTCATTGGGTA